AATGAAATAACAGATGCTTTTAAAAACGCTTCCACAGAAACCAAGTATATTGCCCATCATTACAGATTACCACCTGAAATAAAGAATATAATAAGATTAAGGAACTCGCACAGGAAATGGTACCAAAGAACTTACGACCCAGCACACCTGGACGCAATAAAACAACTCAATAACCAGATTAAAAAACACAGTAAAAAATATAAAAAACAACTGTGGCAGGCAAAAATCGCCTCCCTCTGCACTACCAACAACTCTATATGGAAAATGGCCAAGAAACTGAAAACAACTCCTCAAATAGACAGACCAATAAATGGACCAACAGGCGCAGCTTACACAATATCAGAAAAAATCGAAATATTCGCAGATTCACTTCAAAATCAATTTTCACCAAATATCAACTCTGACCAAAATCATCACAATATCATCACAGAAGAAGTTAATAATTTTCAAACTGAACACCTCATCCCAGAAACAATAAATTCAACCAATAATCAAGAAGTTAGCTGCATCATACAAAAACTGAAAAACAATAAAGCTCCAGGTGAGGACGGGATAAAGAATAAGATGATAAAACTATTACCAAACAACTACATCTGCAAAATCACGCATATTTTTAATGTCTGCCTTGCTCATAATTACTACCCACAAATCTGGAAAAACGCATCAGTCATTCTATTTCTCAAGAAAAATAAGAACCCAAGCTGCCCTGAGAGTTATCGCCCAATCAGTCTACTTAACATACTTGGAAAAATATACGAAAAAATCATCTACAATAGAATAAAACCACTTCTTACAGCCCTCCCCGACGAACAGTATGGATTCCGACAAAAACTAGATACCACCAAACAGTTACTCCGAATAATAGACTATACTGGCAGAGCAATCATAAATAAAGAAACAATAGCCTTCCTGATGATCGACATATCCAAAGCATTTGATAAAGTATGGCACACTGGTACAATATATAAACTCATACAGCTGAATTTTCCACCCGGCATAATCAAACTCCTATCCTGCTATCTTTCTAATAGAACATTTCAAATCACCATCAAAAACAAAAAATCCACAAAGAGAAACATCACAGCCGGAGTACCACAGGGCAGCATTCTGGGACCGATATTATACATATTATACACTTATGATTTTCCTATAAACAAAGCCGATTATAACAGCATAACAGCCTATTACGCAGACGATACCGGTATTATTATTAAATCCAGAAACCCAAATCATGCTCTTCAAAAACTACAAGACCATATAGACGAAATAGAAGACTGGTGCTTAAAATGGAAAACTGCAGTAAATGCTGGAAAATCACAAATATTAATTATACAAAAAAGAAGAATTAAAATACTTCCACAACTTCAACCAAAAATGTTCAACATACCAATACCAATAGTTAAAAAAGCAAATTATCTTGGCCTTATAATCAATAGCAAACTCACCTGGAATGATCACATCAAAAGCACAATAGATAAAGCAAATGCAGCAATAATAGCCATACAACCATTAATATATAATCAGAATATGTCACTTAAACTAAAGAAGCTACTATATACAGCAATGATCCGCCCAATACTTACCTATGCCTCACCTGCCTGGACAACGATACCTCAACATCTACTGAAGAAATTAAACCAATGCCAAAACAAGATCCTTAGAAAAATAACCTGTGCAAGATGGTTCATCCGGAATACCAATATACATGCAGACCTCAAAATACCAACTCTATCACAGCATATATACAAGCTAAACGCAGATTTTTTCGATAAAGCCATAGAATGTAAAACAGCAAATTTTAATGAAATCTTTAAATTTGAAAATTATATCAAAGATAAAAACTACAGACCAATAGCTGCACATTTCACCTCCGACGCCTCATATCATAACTATCAAAACAAATAATTTCATCAACCTTTCTGAAAATAACGTTTACTCATGCTGATACAATTCTGAACAACTCCAAAATCAAACAAACACAGTTTAGAGCAAGCTGCTCAATTTCATAATGTAATAACATTTGTGTAATAAGCAAAGAGCTTGAAACATTCATAAAAGCAACTCCATTGCCTGCTTACCTCATTGCTCAACCAAAACTGTTCTAAAATTCCAGATGAATGGGATAGGGGCCGCTTCGCGGCCCAGGTGCCCAATAAAATCAAAACACTAGGACTAGATCTGTGAAGATGCAGCATCCGTCCCCCCAGGAGAGGCCCTCGTGCAACTCCAGCTACAATTCCATAGACTGGTTTCAATCATCAAAGAACTAAAAGAACCTTTAAAAAAAAGAGAAGTTTTACAACTGCTGCAAACAATCATGCGTGAGTCCACTTCTGAAAAATTTCACTTTCGGACTAAACTGAACTCTTTTTTTTTTTAACTTTAGTTTGTATCTCTATTACTATACAAATTAATATTTTTGAATGCTGATCACACTAGATGACGCCACTGAGGCTTAGCAAAATTTATGTAGAATCTTCATGATTTTGAACCCCGATTTTGTGTATATATGCTATCATCAATTTTTAATGCTCAATTCCAAATTTCTACTGCAATTAATGTAAATATCACAGATTATGCTCGTATTTCATGTATTTCCATCTAATCATGGCTGTATTCATTTTTCAATGGCAATTAATGTAAATCTCCGATCAAGTTTGTACATACTTCTAATCATGGTTACTTTATTATAATGTTACCACATTGTTACATAATTCAAAATGTTTTATTCACTGTATATAATTTTCATGATGAATGGGGTAGGGGCCGTTGCGCGGCCTAGGCACCCAGTTTTGTTTTTTTTTAAAAAGATCAGTGTTGATGTAAAGGCGTCATAATTATTAACTAATATTCCGAAAGTTTCAATTCATAATAATCTGTCATTCTATAAAGTATTTTGCTAAATGTGTCGTAGTTGGTTCTCCTGAAAGAGAAAATTTTTTAGAGTAGCTATAATCTGGATGAGAAGGAAAAAAAAAGTGGTATCCGAGCTACTAGGTCTATCGGAATGTGTTCCATTATACGATGATGCAAAAGGTGCCATTTTGAAATAAAAGGACGTTGGGCATTTATCCTTAAACGTAGATCTCAGATGAACCACTTAGTTCTGTCGGATACCTTCGTCACAAGTATGAACATGTATGGGTATGCTCTTTTGCACCATATATTCTGTGTCACTTCAATCTAGAATAATACGAAGGGTAATTTCCCAATACTTGATCTAGGAGTTTCCTTGTCTTCCGGATCGGGTTCAAAATTACAAGACTACGAAAATGAAGGCTAATTGAACTCAAAATTGGGTCGGCTGTTCACCGACTGTTGTACAATAAATTTAAATAATGCATATTATTTTATTTAATAATTTAAATTAAATAAAGAGAATTTAATCTAGAAAAAACTAAATAATTGAAAGAAAACTAACATATCAAGTTAGAAAAAAAAAGGGGGAACAATGTCATTTTAATGGCGGATAAAAATTCGCAAAAAGAAGCAAAGGTCTAAAAAAAGAAGAAAAAAAGGAATGTGCGGACACGTAGGACCAGCCCGAAGGCGTCCCAGAGGTGAACTGACTTCAAGACGCAGTCGAAAGTTAGAAAAATTTTGAAAGGAAAGGGGGAATTGACCAATTAGTGTCCAGGAAAAGTCCTAACCGGAAGGCGAGAAGCCCCGTTTGAAAATAAGCGGGAGGGAGGGAAACAGAAAACTATAAAAAACAAGATGGTTAAGCAGCCAAAAAGTAAAACATGGGGGAAAAGTTAAATAAAAATTTGGCTGGTGCTAAAACTAAAAAAAAGGCAAAAAGGTCGGTAAAAGGCTAAAATTAATTGCAAAAAAATCGTTAAATTAAATAATATAAAAGGAAAACGAATTGAAAGGGGAATTAGAATAAATTAAAGACGAAGAAAAAAAAGAATACACAGTTAAAAATTATGTCGCAGATCACCGTGACAGTAAGTATAGTAGGAAGTAACAGAAAAAAATGCAACGAACCATCCTTAAAAAAATATCGCTAGGATCATTAGAATATTACGTAAGATTGTAAAATAAATATCCCTTTGCGTCACAAATTCAAATATAAGTGGAAAACCAATTAAGTATAAAAGAAAATGCTAATTTTTTGTCTCACTGCACACGAAATTTGCTGTTTTGCGCATCTACATTTTTCGTTTGCTTTAATAACGTGTTGTAAAATAATTGAATGTCATCAAGTAAATTAAAACTTACCCAATATGTATAAATTTAAAAATAAATTTGTAGTTTGGAAAGAAACTTTTTAATTACAAAGATCCAGACCAATGTCTAGATTTGTTAATGTCGCTCAAGGTGCTTTGTTTGACTTGTTTAACATTTAATGGTATTAAAGTACAAAATATATCTTACAAAAAGATAAGCAATGCATTCTCGTTAGTTGTAACCAAAAGTTCTTACTTAATTTCCAAAATATCGATGTTAAGGAGAAAAATATAATCGGAACCCAAAATTATACTTGTCATGCAAAAACTCCTAGTTTTAGATATTTTTAAAGATGCATGAGCTAAGTATATAAGCGAAAAAATATTAAAAATTACAATTAAGGTAAAAGGAATGAAACAACAAAGATAACCCTAATGTTCAGAAAAAAAATTTTAATTTTTTTTAAAATTTTAAAATTTTTTTGTTTAAGCAGAATTTTTATCAAAGCTGATCAGATCGAAACTTCTTCAAAGCTGATGAGACTGTAGCATCATCAAAGAGGTTCAGGCCGAAACATCACCAAAGTTGTTCAGACCGAAGTTCCATCAAAGTTTTGCAGACCAAAGCTTCATCAAAATTGTTCAGAACTGTGCTGGTTGTAAACGTAAATGTTTTCTAATTACAATCAACACTAAACAAGTATCTCATAGAACAAACTCTTTTTACTATCACAAAAGTACACAAAGAATATATACATGTTGCCAACAAAAGAATAATGTAAGAAATAATATAATAAATAATATAATAAATAATCACTGCATCTGCGTTCACGCAGTTGCGTCTGGAACATCCTCCCCACCCTGATCAACCTCAAGAGGAATGATCAGTTGAACAGGTCGGGAGATTTCCTTGCCCTCAGAACGTAAAGTACAAGTCCGGACTTTTCCATCGCGTCCTTTAATTAGTCCGGTTACCAATCCTCTTTTCCACGTATGTCGTGGTCTTACATCTTCGTGAAGTAGTACTATGTCTCCAACACGAACATGAGAAGATTTTTGAACGTTACGAACTTGGTGGAAAGATCTTAATTGCAATAGATAGTCCTTAGACCATTTCTTCCAAAATGCGTCTAATAAATCCTGTTGTTGCCTGTACAATTTTGTCAGATTTCTACTTGATGCTGCAGGCTGTGAAGGTATGGTTGTAAGTCTTTTACCGGTAAGAAAATGGGATGGTGTTAATGATTCTTCAGGATCATCATTTCCTTGTTCATAAACTAACGGTCGACTATTTAATGCGGCTTCAACACCAACTAATGCTGTAGAAAGACCTTCTTCATCTAACAAGGTTCGACCTAGGGATTTTCGCAAACATCTTTTTGTTAGTCCGATCAAACGTTCCCACCATCCTCCCCACCAAGCCGCTCGTGCAACAATAAATTTCCACTTAATTCCCGTCTGGGCATAATATTGCTGAACTTTTGACGATGTTAAGTTGTCCCATAAAATGGATAGCTCTTTATTAGCGGCATGGAAGGTAGTGGCGTTGTCAGTGTATATTGTATGAGGAACTCCTCTTCTGCCTACAAATCTTTTTAGGGCCATGAGAAATTTGTCAGTAGTGAGGTCAGAGACTAGTTCGATATGTACAGCAAGAGTAGTTGAGCAAGTGAAAAGTTCGATATAGGCTGTATTTAAAGGTTACAAGTTACGAACATAAAGTGGGCCAGCGAAGTCTATGCCAATAGTAGTAAATGGAAGGCAAGGTGTAATTCTGTCCCTTGGTAAAGGAGCTTCGATTTGTTGACTTCTAGATGCCTGTGAGAGCTTACAAGGTAGACATTTGTAGAGCACTCGTTTAATGGCTTCACGTCCTCGTATTATCCAGAAGTTGGAACGAATGTCTGAAAGTACTATTTGAACATCTAAGTAATGAAGCTTCACATGTGTGTAGTATATGAAAAGATGTACAAAAGGATGAGATCCATCAAGAAGCAAAGGGTGTTTTTGCTCATTTTTGAGCGATGCGAACTGTAATCTACCTCCTAATCGTATGAGATTTTTTTGAAGAAATGGGTTGAAACGGCTAATTTTTGAAGATTTTGGCAAAGGGGAATTATTTTGTAAAGCGTGAAGCTCTGCCGAAAAGCATTGCTTTTGCACTGTGAGAATCCAATAGTTTTTTGCTGTGTTAAGCTCATTACATGTGAGGTCAATAGAAATGCGTTGCTTGGATCGACAGTTATACAAGAAACGAAATATCCATGCTGTAACTCTAAGAGGTTTCATATATGAACTGAAGCGCGATATATCAATAAGAGGTTGGTAAGAAGTTATCAATAAAGATTGAGAAGCTGGTTTACGTAGTTCAGCATAAATATCTGGATTAGCGTCACTCAGTTGTTTTGAAGGCCAAAACTCTGATGATTGTGTTAGCCAGGTTGGTCCTAGACACCAAAGATCCAATGATTTAAGCTCTGTTGGTGCAACACCACGAGACAAGTGGTCGGCAGGATTTTCATTGCCAGGGCAATACCGCCATTGTGTTGGATTTGTGTAATTGAGAATTTCTTTCGTTTGGTTACAGACAAAGGTTTTCCAACGATTTGGATCACCTTGTATCCAATTTAAGGCAACTGTTGAGTCACTCCAAAGTGTCGCTGTGTTCCTATCCAGTTTAGTTTCTGTACAAAAATAATGGAGTAATCGAGCACCCAATAATGCGGCTAACAGCTCTAAGCGGGGAAGTGTTATTCTTTTCAGAGGAGAAAGTCTATTACGACTGCAAACCATTCGAACATGAAATTTAGTATCTTCTGTGAATCGTACATATAACACAGTTCCGTAAGCACGTTCCGAAGCATCGCAGAATACATGAATGGTAACATCAGCAGAAGATATTCCAATCCATCTGGGGATTCGAATGTCGTTTAAATGTGGTAAGTCTATAATCCATTTTGACCACCTTGATGCGATAGATGGGGGTAAAAGTTCGTCCCATTCAATACCACATAGCCATGTATCTTGAAAGAGAATTTTTCCGACAACAGTAGATGGTGAGAAAATTCCCAAGGGATCAAAAATCTTTGAGATTATTTTCAGAAGTAAGCGTTTAGTGACCGGTTCCTTAAATAAATCGTGGTCATGCTCCTTAATATTTTGATGAAACGAATCTTCTTCTGTATCCCAATGTACACCTAAGACTTGAGTCTTACTTTTAAACTTTATTTTTTCTTTTTTCCATTCGTTTTTCAGAACTTGGGAGTTGGTACTCCATTTTGCTAAAGGAAGGCTTATAAGACTCGTGAGTTCTCACATTTCGTGAAATAGGGTTTTCGCTTCGATTTCTGAATCAACTCCCACAACGAAATCATCCATGAAAATATTGCCTTTTAGATGTTTAGCTGCTGTGGGATAAATGTTGGAGTACATGCAGCATAATTCGTCAAGTGTAGCTGAAAGAAGGAATGGGCTGCTGGTTAATCCAAAGGGCAAACGTGTAAATTGATAGACCACAATTTCATTCTCTAGCTGCAAATGTTCATCATCATTTTTCCTAGTTTTGAACCATAGAAACTTAGTAGCACATCTGTCTTTTTCCCACAAGGTTAATTGTAAAAAAGCCTGACTTCCATCACTAATAATTGCTTGTTTGTGAAGACGAAATCGTAATAAGGTGGCTAAAATTTCTGGAAGTAAGTTGGGACCTTGTTCTAGAACATCGTTTAATGATGGATGGCCTGGTGTGTGAGAAGAGGCGTCGAACACTATTCGTCCCTTAATTTCTGCGTTTTTCTCTTTAATGACTACATGATGGGGTATGTAATAGCTTTTTTCTTCCTTATCATGATTTTCCGGTGCTATTTCAACTTGCCTTTTGTCTATGTAATCTTCCATGAGTGTAACATACATTTCCTTTAAGCTAGGATCTGTTTGGAGCTTCTTGCACAATGTATTGAAGCGTTTTGATGCTACGTGATAGTTATTTGAAGAAAGAGTAACGTCTTTCTTCCAAGGTAATCTAACAACACGACGATTTTCTAGGACTTCATAAGAGCTTCGAAAGTCTTCCAATATTTCAGAATTGCGAATGGACATTTCTTTGTCTTGCATGGCTTTAATACCTAAAGTATCTAAGTCCCAGAATTTCCTAACTTGATCATCCAAAATATATGGTGATGTGATGCTGATATTATGAACTGACGATAAAGAAGCGACAGATGTATGAGATCTGGATCCAGACAAAATCCAGCCAAAGATTGATGGAATGAGCACAATTGTTTCCGAAAGTCTGAAAGGAATCTCAGAATTCACCACCGTCCAGTAAAAATCTGCACCAATCAAAACTTCTATAGGCATCTCTTGAATGGTGTCATTCGGGTCAGCAAGCTTAAATTTTTTCTTGTGAGCCATAGAAGCAATCTCTAATGGAACTGATGGATGAACTGCATATCTATTAGGACTTTCAAATGCATGTAGATAAATTTCTGACTGATTCCAAATACTTGATAGTTTAAATCTTACTTTTCGTCTCGATTGAGCCTGATTTGATGATGATTCGAATGCATGAATTTCAAGTGAATCAGAGCTAATAACATCTAATTTTAGGTAGTCTACAAGATGTGAATGAATGAAACTGGTTTGGCTACCACAATCTAAAATGCATCTTGTAAGCTTAGTAATACCAGTTGGGCCAGTTATATATACTCGAGCAGTCTGTAAGTGAGTAAAATTAGGTGTACGAGTATCTATGTTATTTGTAGAAATAGAGTGGCTAGGTTGAATTGAACTGTTGTTCCACAAATAGAGACATGGTGCTTCTTTTTGCATCTTATGCAGAACGCTTTATCTTTGCGAAGGCAATTTTTTATACTATGGCCACGATTAGTACACAGGAAGCATTTACCAGAGGTTTTTAATTTTTGGATTCGAGTATCGATATCAGTTATAATCGTGCAATCTTGCGGCCAGTGACCGTTAATTTCACAGAAGGCGCAAAATGGAGATGGTTTTTTAGTCTGGTTAACCTTTTTAGAATTCAAATGCAAGGCTGCTGTAGATGTCTTAAATGTGTAATCAAAGTTTTGCTCACCTCGAATTTTTAGTGTTGCTAGAGCACCTTCTACTTCTTCAGATAAATATTGAACTAGTTTATTCATATCACCTTCAGATATTTTCTCTCTTTTTGCGTAAATAATCCATCGGCGACAAATATCATCTGGAAAGGCACGTAAAATTTTTGGAGCTAAAACGCGCCCGTAAGCGTTGATATCCTCTCCTAAAGCCGTTAAAGCGTTTAGTCTTCTGTTGCATTCTATAAATACTTTATTCAATGCAATAGGAGTGGGATTACGTATTGGCGAAATATTTTCCAAAAAGTCTAAATGGGCTTGAATCATTCTGTTTTTGTCGCCATATCGATTTTGAAGAAGAGCTTTTGTAGTTTCATATGTGCTGGCACTAACACTGATTCCGTCGACTAAGCGTCTAGGTTCATCTTCCAAATATCCTCGCAAAAACACATGTTTATCAATTAATGATAGACTATTATTATCGTCAATAGAAGATTTAAATTGTACCCAGAAACACTGCCATTGTTCAATATCACCTCGAAAAGTATCCAGTTTAATAGTAGGAAGTTTCACTGTGTGAGATTGAGAAACGGGTAATTGCATAACGGGTACTTGTGTAACAGGTATTTGAGAAACAGTTACTTCTGGCGATTGTGAAGTATTATATTCAAAATTAATTCTACTACCAAATTTCTTTGTTTTAAAGATAGCGAGCTCGGCATTATCCACGTATTCTTCACATTGAATAATATCATTGTCATAATCACCATCTGTTAATAAACTATGAATGTCGTTATCCAATTTCTTCATTTCTAACAAGCAATCCGAAAGACGATGACTAATATATTCGACATTTTCATTTAAAGTGTCAGAGGTTGCAGAAAGATCAGAATTTAATTGCGTAATAAATCGAGTAACATTACCTCGCACTGTTCTTCTTTTTCTTTTCAAAAGTGCCAGAATATCGCCAAGTTCTTTATCGTTTTGTTTCTCCTTCATTGAGTAATACTGATGTTTGACGTTTCGCTAGTTTTTAAAAGAGTGACTGCGTAAATTATTCATCTGATTCGTATTTAATTTTAAACCGAGTTGTTTCGGCACCAAAATGTGTTGGTTGTAAACGTAAATGTTTCTAATTACAATCAACACTAAAACAAGTATCTCATAGAACAAACTCTTTTACTATCACAAAAGTACACAAAGAATATATACATGTTGCCAACAAAAGAATAATGTGAGAAATTATATAATAAATAATATAATAAATAATCACTGCATCTGCGTTCACGCATTTGCGTCTGGTAATCACTGCATCTGCGTTCACGGACTTGCGTCTGGAACAAGAACGAAGCTTCAGAAAAATTGATTAGATCGAAGCTACTAACGTGACCAAGGTTGGTGCAAAGCAAATACTGAATTTTTCAGAAAGCATCTGATTGCAGTTCAAAGTGAAAATTTTCACTAATAAGCCTCAGTGGAAATTAGTGGTGGATATAACAATTGACATCACAAAACCGCACAATATCTTTATCGTTTAACTAAGTTTTATTGTATTAAAACACACATTAGCACTATCGTGGCTATCTTTATGTACTATTAATCATGACAATATTAGGGACAGAGAGGGTCGTGGAAGAAGTTGTTTACAGAGTGACCACAACTGGGAAAAATTTAAAAAGTGAAATAGAAAGGCAGAAAATATCAATTCTCTTACTAGATGACAAATAACGACAAACATTCCCTGCCCATTTAATTTTTAAATAGCACAGTCCTGTTTTATCAAGATAATATAATAACTGTTATTATAACTGAGATTATAATAACTGTTATTTTTTACTATTACAGACCTGCTGATACCTGATACTTTTGCAGTTTTCCTTTTTAGGCAAAGCTTTTAACAAGTGTGACTACTTCCTAATAATTATAAAACTACTACCTCAAAAACTATCTAAATCTAAACCTTCAAACTGACAGTCATGCAAAAAATAAAATAAAAAAATCTCCAATAGAAAGTGTTATTGTTGGCAGTTCTACACATCACAATAATTTGTAATCTATTAGTTGGGATATGTTTCAAAGGAATACAAAATAAGTCTCAAAAGTATACAAAATACGTTTCATAAGAATACAAAATATGAGTTCATCCTCAAAATGTACCTTTGCAGTTTTTTTTTTAAGTAAAATGCTTCACACACCTAGCAAACTCTACTGGCAAAATTTGTAATATTTGTAATAAACAATACTGTCTCTTCAAATATTATAATAGTCTAAAACTTCCACAACCTTTACAGCGTTGCTTTCAAAACAAACAATTTACAGCGTCTGCCTTCTTATAACGTCAAATACTATGTAAACATAAAAGTTTCGACTACAAATGCACGTTATTCTTTACACTGATTTCCGGGATTTCTATAAATTGACGCTTTTTCTAAACTGCTATTATTATTAATAATCAAATAAACCAAATAACTGTTTTTTGAAAATAAATGCATAAGGTTAAAAAAACAATTATTGATTGAGTAAAGAAATAGATTTTTTTTCCTTGAGCCGTCAACTCAGTGAAAATTTTTAAGTAATTAATAAGAAAAAGCAATAAAAAATTACTTGATCAACATGTTATCTACAAAATAAATTTTGTTGTGATATGTCTTGACTTTCTTGTTGTTGCATTTTAGGTGGCCAGCAGTCTACATATACATTTTCATTCCTCCAGATGAAATTACTCCTCTGTGCACCTGTGAAGCCCATTATGGGGGCAGGGGATGTAAAGATGTAAAGTAAACTATCCCACTTTTTACTCTCTCCTCCGATTAAGATCTACATCATCTCTTTTTCACTCTGCTCTAAATATGTGTATACTACTTCTTCGGTTTTGTTTTTACTCATGCCGTTGGAAATTTGGCATGAGTGGAACTATCCAAATAGCTTATTTTTTTTGTTAATCAGACTTCTTGGAATCGCACTTGTATCTTATCAATTATTATTCAAATAATTTTTCTTTTGTATATATCGCACATTTTAATGTTTTGTATATAAGTTATTCGACCACATTCGCCCGTTGAATTTGGCAATTTAATCTCAGATGAATAGGCTGGTGCCACAAGTCAGGTACCTCGATCAATACGCTCACATTAAAGCATTGAAAAAGGGAAATGAAATTTCTTATCTACAGCAACAAAATATTAATAATAGTTATTAAAAATTTTAATCTATTAAGCGAAATGATCAGTCAAATTATGTCTGGACATGGCAAAGTTTGTAGCTCGTAGTTTAAAGTAAAGTACTAAAATTAAGTTTAAGTTTATTCAATTCAATTTTTAAAGTACTGCAAAATGAGTCTTCGACGTTGCGGACGTGGTGGAAAGACAAGCACGCCTACCGGGTGTCAAAACATCAGTGATTCTACGACGGATGAGGAATCCACAGAATTCGACAACAAAATCAAATCACGCAATATGGCTACATATCAAAATCATCCACGTGGCGGAAAATGGCAAACCGAAAAGACTTCACGAGAACCAACGGTAAATGTGGAAAGCTTGAGTCCAGGTGAACGAAAGTTATATGAAGAATGGATGGAAATGATAAGGATGACCAACGAAGAAATTGAAACAACAGCGAAAGAGCTCCAGGATTGCTCGCAACTCAAAACTCAACTTATGGAAACTCAAGATGCAGGCCAAAATTTAGAACAGAAAAGCGAAATGACAACCGATACAGAAAATACAGCTAAAAATAATGCAGAGCCTCCTACAAAAAAGCGAAAAAGGAAGAAGAAAAAGCAAAACAAAGCCAAAAATATTGAGGATACACAAATCATGATTACAGAAAGCACCTCTTCTTCACCAATAGATGCCGCCACCTCCTTGCTACTATCTGAAACAATAGTCAACTCTGACATAGCTCCACCCATGGAAGTTCCCAATGAAGAAACAGACACACCCATAACCTCTGCACAAGCACATCCAACCATACATATTAAAGTATTACTCCGTGGACTATCAACAGAATACAAAACAGATGAGATCTCCCATCAACTGGCAAAAACAGGCATTACAACTCATAAAGTCATACAGTTTAAGAGAAAAGTGGGCGAGGCCTATAGGCTCCTCCCACTTTTTCTCATAATTCTTAAAAATACAGTGCAAAATCATCAAATTAACTCCATCACCACTATTCAAAGTATTCCAGTCAGAATAGAGAGATTTAGGGGGGGTCGTGGACCAATTCAATGTTTTAATTGTCAAGCATTCCACCACACTCAAAGATCATGCAACGCTGCCTCAAGATGTGTGAAATGCGCTGGCAATCATCGCTCCCACGAATGCAGAAAGGACAGACACACTCCACCAAAATGTTGCAACTGTAGTGAATCCCACACCGCAAACTACACTGGGTGCATAGCCCGTCCCACTAGGAAGGGCTCTCGCCCGATTCCCACAACAACAGCCGGTATGGCTCGCAGACTTGTCATAATAATAAAAGAACTGCAAGAACTCATAAAGAATGAAGAGGTACTCCAATTACTGCAAAGAATCATTAGAGATAATGCTCCATAATGTCATAGTCATGCCCAATTCCGGACTATTCATTCGGAACTCTTGCATTAGTGTAATATGTAGATTATCAAACTCTTCTTCAATGAAAAAAGTAAAACAGCTCAATTAAATAGCAAACTGTATCCGATAGATGGCGACACCAATATTAAACAAAACTTCTGTAAATTTATCATATATCATGTTATATTTGTTTTACAACTTAAAATTACACAATTCTAACTTTATTCAATGCTAAATTGTCAATCGCATTTGCATATATTCTAATTTTACTCATAATTTATCACAACTTATGAATGCATCAAATTTAAATTCCATTCAATGCTAAAATATCAATTGTAATTGTTTACACATTAATTTAATTCATATTTTAATCACAACCTATGATTGCATCAAATTTAATACCAATCAATGCTTAAATATCAATTGTGCTTTTTATATTCACGAAAATTTCTGATTATTGCATAAATCATGACTTATATTAAATATCAAATCATGTTTAATTTATCAAGCAAATATGCTTGATCTTCTGTAATGCTACCTAAATGCTGCATAATTCAAAATGTTTTTTAATTCAACTTGTAAATACTTCATGATGAATGGGTTAGGGGCCGCTGCGCGGCCCAGGCACCCAGTTTTAGTTAAATAAAGAAAGAAATGATCAGTCAAATTTAAGCAATTAATTAAATATTTCATCCGCCAGTGAAAACTTTAGCTGGTAGATGTGATGAGCACATTATGAGAATTTCTTCTTTGTCACGAATTCAAAGCATAGAAGTTGACTCGTCTGCATATAATCAAAATGATAACTGCTCTGAAATCGTAAAATTGTTTAAGTCACTTCATTGAAAAGTTAGAGAGCTATCCCCTCTCTGAGCCACCATGGCCTGCAGTACCGACATTGTCGTTAACACTTACATAAGGTAGAAAATTGTGTTCTTCAGTTTTTAATATTTTTTTCATAATAAGGATAATGTCCATTTTTTTGATGCTTCAGCACTGTTCCTGAATTATAACAGTAAAACAATTGCGAAACGCATAACATTTTATTGTTTTACCTATAAGTGCTTAGCAAGCTCCGGAAAATTTTTGTTTCCACTAATATTTTTTTTTCTCTCACAAATATGTTGTTAATTGTTAACTGATGAAATTGCTTCATGTATACTTTCAAATATATTGATAACGAAACAGTTACCATTCTTTTATTTATATGATTTTTCGTTGAAATTTACTATAGTTTGTAGAGATGAAAACGAAAATCGTTTATCTACCGCACTAAAATATTAATTATAAATAATACAATTTTTAATCATCTGAGCTTAAACGAATTGCTAAACACAGTACTCTAATCGCTCACGGGCATTAACACAGACGAATAAGTGGAGTGATCGCTCGGCGGGTAGGAACTTCATATTACATCTCAACCTAAGCCCAACGAATTGG